ATTGAAAAATACGGGGGGGGGGGGGGTTGTCCCTGTAAAAACAGCTGTGAGTCACTTTGGATAAAAGTAAACTGAACTAACACAGGCACAAACCAATCCCTGATCAATCTTAGTGAAACTGAGTGTGTCTGGTGTTGAGCAACATCAGGTTACATCACTGTTTAATGATGTATCAGTACAACTATTGGATAAATAATAAAAAATTTGCATATTACATTGGAAAAGGTGACAGACTATATCAGTATACCACAGCATGAAGCTGTTATCTAAACCTTTTAGCATGTCATGTTATTCTGTACCTCTTCAAGTGAACCAGTCCCCTTAATGATGCATTCTCATGAAAATATGGCTAGTTGAATCATTTAGATGTGGCTTTATTTAATAATCGCTTACATTAATACAGCCACAATAATGTCTGATATGGCTTGACAAGGAACAAGGTCTTAAGTGAATCCATGAAATTCATGGATCATTGCATTTCTCTTTCAAATCCAGAAATGCTTTATTGGCATGATTATTGACATTAAGTATATTATAGTATTTTATGTATAATATTTATTTATAATATTATAGGTGACGTAAATAAGGCCACGTTCACACAGCAGCAGAATATGGTTGTCAGTCCTGAATTTGAGTCCTTGATATACTTATGTTCACACACAATATGGTAATTTACGGGAGTGACACCCGGAAGTTTTCATGACTCATAAATGCATTTATGGAAAGCTCACACTGTGTAAACGGAACAGGACTGGACACGTGTGAGAGAGCCGCTCACAAACACGTGTCTATATGCATTGCGGTTTTTCACGTGTGGTTTAGGTAACTTACAATAATGCAGATATGAGCTGTGTGTCATCTGAAGGTTTTACATCCAGTTACTGTAGTGGAGCTGCTCCTGTCAGTTTTGTGTGCTTTGCGCGACTCGAATGTTCCGCTCTCCATCCAAACATAAAAGCTGCAGTCGGTTAAAGAAGATTTGAGGGATGAACTCACAGCTCGACTGGATACGGGCTTGACTCCCGTTGCACGTTCAGTATTTGAGATGCTAATGTAAGCTGCTGTGTGAACGGGACATTTCGAGACTCACACTAGTTCATGCGGTTGAGTGAACGCAGCCTAAATGAATGGGGGAAAATATAGTGCTTATAGGGAAATAATCAAATACTGTAAATAAGGAGGGGGGAGCCAATGTAGATACAAAAAAAATGTTTAAAGTAATAAATCACTCAGAAAAAAACAATGTCAAAAAATGATGAAAATAAAGAAATTAAAGTTTAAATTAAAAAAGGAAATGTAAATGTTTTCTAAATGAATTCCCTTTTAAAGTTAAAAAAAAAATGTGTTTGAATTGGTATCTCCCTTCTCACATACTGTAAGAACAATCCCACTGAAATCCTATGAGAGGCCACTTGATCCCAGGGGTTCAGTTATTTTCGTAACCGAGTACACAAGTGAACCATTGAATTTTATTTTGAAATAAAATAACTCAGTTATTTTGTGACAATGCTGTTGGTGGTCATTTTTTGTCATTCTGAAGTCAACACTACAAGCCAGTCCGTTTATTTTCAGCTGTGGTTTCCCGTGAATATTTGTGGAAGAGAGCTGAACTCTGGAATAACAGCATATGATTTCGTTCTGGCTGAAAGGCGGAGCATTTCTCCTGTGTTCACACCCTACTGTGAGTTTACATACAGTGGGTACGGAAAGTATTCAGACCCCCTTAAAGCTCTTAGGAACCTTAAGTGCAGCAGAAATTTTTTTGTAACCTTGGCCAGATCTGTGCCTTGCCACAATTCTGTCTCTGAGCTCTTCAGGCAGTTCCTTTGACCTCATGATTCTCATTTGCTCTGACATGCACTGTGAGCTGTAAGGTCTTATATAGACAGGTGTGTGGCTTTCCTAATCAAGTCCAATCAGTATAATCAAACACAGCTGGACTCAAATGAAGGTGTAGAACCATCTCAAGGATGATCAGAAGAAATGGACAGCACCTCAGTTAAATATATGAGTGTCACAGCAAAGGGTCTGAATACTTAGGACCATGTGATATTTCAGTTTTTCTTTTTTAATAAATCTGCAAAAATGTCAACAATTCTGTGATTTTCTGTCAATATGGGGTGCTGTGTGTACATTAATGAGGAAAAAAAATTAACTTAAATGATTTTAGCAAATGGCTGCAATATAACAAAGAGTGAAAAATTTAAGGGGGTCTGAATACTTTCCGTACCCACTGTATGTAGCTTCAAGCATTCCTGCCCTCTTAACAGTTTGCACGTGGAACATTCTGAAATGTAGAGCACAAGAAGACAAGATTTAGGTGAGTGATGGATCATATTTTATGGGAACAGATTTTGAAATTAAACCGCAATGTACATGTCCTTATTTCTGTGTTTTTCTCCAGAATTCTCAACTTGACTCATTGCAGAGATGATAATGCTACATATTCCAGCTGGGTAGTTTCCACATCATTCAATAGTTTCCAGTGAAAATGCTAAAGCAGCTGCAGTTTTTCCTTCTGTTGGGAACATTATTTATCATGTTCTTCATAATAGTTCACTGGGATGATGTGAGAGATGGGACTTTTTATCTGCACGTGGCTCCATCATCTCCTGCATTTCCCACAAACATGATGTCCTCTGGACACTGGATAAGTGAGGATTCATTTCTCTGGAAAGAGTCAAGCAGGTCAGTCAAACCAAACCTGACAATCATCACAACTCACCTAAAACATGACCTAACACAGACTTTTACGCAGTCTTCTCCAACACACCTCGAACTGCGTCAAGCACATCGTAGACATTTAATAAGAGAACTATGCTCAGCCAATAGCAGCTTCAACTTCCCTGGAAAATTTAAGACATTTGACCAGATTCCAAGCAAAGCCCTGGACCATCTCATTGTGGATGATCATCATGGTGTTATTTACTGCTTTGTACCGAAGGTAGCCTGTACCAACTGGAAACGAGTCATGATTGTGCTCAGCCAAAGCCTGAAGGCACCTGATGGAGCTCCGTATCTGGATCCTCTTGACATACCATCAGCGTTATCCCACAATGCTACTCTGCATCTGACATTTAACAAGTTTTGGAAGCTGTTTGGTCGTTTCTCTCGTCCTTTGATGCATCACAAACTGAAGAATTACACTAAGTTCCTTTTTGTACGGGATCCTTTTGTACGACTTATTTCTGCTTTCCGGAACAAGTTTGCTCTGCCTAATGAGGATTTTTACAGACAGTTTGGCTCTGTAATGCTTCACCGTTATGCTAATATTTCAAAGCCCCCTGACTCCGCTCAAGAAGCCTTCGCTGCAGGTATCAGATTGTCCTTTACTCACTTTATTAAGTACCTGTTAGATCCACAGACTGAGGAGGAGAAGCCATTCAATGAGCATTGGCAGCAGATGTACAGACTCTGCCATCCGTGCCAAATTGAGTATGACTTTGTTGGGAAACTGGAAACACTTGATGAGGATACAGAACATTTGTTGAAGATTCTTGGGATGGAAAATCAGGTTCGCTTTCCCCCAGGGTACCGCAACAGGACAGCTGCAAACTGGGAACGAGACTGGTTTACAAACATTTCAGTAGCTGACAGGAGAGAACTGTACAATCTTTATGAAGCAGACTTCAGATTATTTGGATATGACAAACCTGAGACACTTCTGGACGAGTGACAGAAACAGTTGTTCTTTAAAAGAAATTAGCCTACATGTATATAATGTGAAATAAAAAGTGGATTGTACAGACGTTTTGGCGCTTAAACATTTTCTAATTTACTTCACTAAAACAGTGAATTGTCAGGTGCACATTTTTAGATTTTATATCAAACTTGTTATAAAACTGTATTGCTGATGAATGATTTGAATCAAAAACAAACTGATTAATGTTTCACTCATGGAAATTTAGTAATAAAATTACAGTAAAATTACAAATTAAATGAACTCAGGTAATGACATTGAATGATCTAAACTGGTTGGAATAGACCTTATGGGTAGCGTCATACTGATTTTTTGACAGAAATGAGAACAATGTCATGCACTGCATAAGGTCCTACTAGTTCATGCAATTTTCTTTTATGTTTAAAACCATTTTGTCTACTACTTTTTTGGAAAGATGTTTTGTCAGCTGAACAATCAGTATGTTGTTAAACAACAGTACAACTGTTGTACTTCTGTCCCTCAATTTTGTCAAAAATTAAATATGGCTCTAGTACCCTGACTAACGTCTACTGACTAAACCAAAGCATTCATTTGTTTTGGCCACAAGGGTGCAGTGTGTTTCAATTGATTTGTTGCAGAAAGAGCGATATACTACAGTCAGCCATTTGAGCAGCACTCAGATGGAGTTCTGAAACTTGACTGAACTTATGAATCTTCAAAAAAATCAAATGTAGAATTTATGAAATGAGGCATATTTTGACAGCTCTCTAAGGCCCAGTGAAAGTGAAGGTTCTTGTTTTTATTTGAAACGACATCTCTGACCAAAAGTAGAGAGAATAAAATAATTGGAGACAGTTACATTTCACATGATCTGAAAGTGTAATGTCAGAGTTCTTATTAGAGAAAAATATGACATTTTAATTTCCAAAGTTTTAACAATATAAAATGTTTTCAGGATTAGATTTTGATATGATTTTAGCACATTAATCTGTTTGGGGTTTTATTTTCATTACTTTTTAGTTCAACAGACAAAAAGGCCTATTACCTTCACTAAAAATTAATCTGAAAGCCAGCATTCATAAATTTGCCAAATAAATAAATAAAAAGAATAAACATTTTAGCTGGGTAAATATATGAAAATGTGCTGACATATATGGACCATTCTACAGAATTGGTGCAAACTGCTGTCCCAAGAAAACACATTTAAAAAGCATTTTAGTATTAAAATCTTAGATGTTTACTAAGATTATTGTATTATCTATTGAAACCCACAATAATATTTAAAATATTAGTAAACTTAATATATATATAAAATCATCATATTATATATATAGGGTACTTTCAGTTGGGAGGTGGATATCTTGAACCCTAACCCCTATATTCATATATATATTTATATTCACTTGTGAAAAATGATATTGAAATATTTTTTTTCCATTGTTGTTTTTAAAAGTATCTTTTTAACTCTTTTAAAAAGTAAAGTAAAAAAAAAATTCTGAAACTGAATTCTGAAATGTGTCCCGCATTTTTCATGTCACTACCGAAACAGTGTGTATTAATCCATTGGCTGAGGTTGAGATTTTAACTACACCCCTAAATTTATAATCAGGAAATATCACTGTGTCCCCCTCTCTCATAGCTATATGCTGAGTTGATAGGCCCCATCCCATAAAATTATTACCGAAAAAGAAATAACTACCGAAATATTCACGACCAAAACATGTCATCATTGTTTCGGTAGTGACAAAAGGGAACACATAATTCTCATATTTGGGTGAAATAAACAATTTTAGTACAGTTTTTTTTTTTAGTATGTTTTAGAGTGTTTTAGTATGCAAGTTAACATTCTGTAATGTGATGTGGTTGCTACAAAAGCATTACTGTCACTACCGAAACATGGGATGTTTTGTCAAGAATAAAGTATACTGAATTATCAACTAAGATGTCATGTTTTTGGTTCAATGTATATTCAAACTAATGAATCCTTAACTTTGAAATCAGTATGATCAACTTTTTGCCTTTTACAAAGACAATTTGGATTCAAAATACAACAAATCTCATAAATTACACTTGAAATATGGTTAAAAATGTCATTTTTATAGATTTACCTCTGAAAAAAATTAACAAGGGTCAATATAACCCTTCTAATTAAATTATTATTACTGTGTTTCGGTAGTGGCAAATTTGGGAAGAGGACAAATATTCCAAAACTTTGTGAAAATGCAATATGAGAATTAACTGCACAATTACTAGAAATGTGTACCTTGGATATTATACAATTTGCATACATACACATTTTAAAAAAAAAAGAGACACGTTTCCAACTCTGACTTGGGACCAATTCTGTATGGCCCATATAAAAGATTACTAAGGTTGTATTCATTTATTATTACTATTATTATATTGCTAACATTAATAGTAATGTAGTAATGCTATTAATAATAATAATATAACAAAGCTCTCTATTTTTATAATAACATTTAGCCTAATAATTATAATTATTAAAGGAAAGGAGGAAAAGGCCGTGACGTGTGGCCATACTCGGAAGTTGAGCTCTGCAATTAATTGCCAGTACCGAGACTCGAGCCTGCAACCTTTGGGTTACAAGTCCGACTCTCTAACCATTAGGCCACAACTGCCCCTAGATTATTAATATTATTACTATTATTGTTATTATTATACACTGAACAAAATTATAAACGCAACATTTTTGTCTAATCAGCATCTTGATATGCCACACCTGTGAGGTGGATGGATTATCTCGGCAAAGGAGAAGTGCTCACTAACACAGATTTAGACAGATTTGTGAACAATACTTGAGAGAAATAGGCCTTTTGTGTACACAGAACAAGTCTTAGATCTTTGAGTTCAGCTCATGAAAAATGGGGGCAAAAACAAAAGTGTTGCGTTTATAATTTTGTTCAGTGTATATTATCATTTAATGCGATTATCAAATGAAATACAAAATATATTGTTGTTGTAATCTGTTCGCTAGTTATTTAAATTGGACTGTGCAATAATAAATAATGGTACTGAGTGTTTTGTTAGTCATATTCCTTCATTACAAATGAAGAGATGAAAAGGTCACTGTAAATTCCATTATGCAAAAAAACTGTTTTGTTATGTCCTCTTTCCCTATCTCTTTAAAGTTCTCTATCAAACTGACTAGAACTGGATAGTCTGAAAGGTCAAGGGCAAATTCACCAAGTCCAGCCTTCTGAACTACCGTCCTCTTCATCTTGCCTACGCTTCTGCTGTATGACAGCTTGAAAGGTTGTGTGGCAGGTTCTTTTAAAGTCGTCCCCTCTACGAGATGCTTTAGAATAAAGGTCAGGACTAATGGGCAACTGCAGTCACCCACAGGAACAGGATGCAAGTACTTTTTTGTTTCCTGTGACCCCTGTCTGTGCTGACTCATGTCCATTATTTCTTACTTTAGTTCAGCACATTCTTTCACCCCCCTGAAGAGGGATCCCACTTGTTGCGACATAATCAGTGAATGAACTAAAAACAGAACAGGATTAATAAAGAAAATGTGCAGATCCTGCTGGTTGCACTTTCTGCTAACAGTGAACAAAACAGGGACTAAAAATGTCATTAAAGTTATTTTTCAAGAGGTCAAGATTTTTTTAAAGCAAATAGAACCAATTATTATCACCGTCTACCATATACAGATGTTTGTTAAATTTTTTGGCGTACTTCACATGCTACTCCCAACAACAGGACAAATGGAAGAGTAAATGTATCTATGGTGTCCCATACTTCGAATTTGTGCTCTGCGTTTTACCCATCCAAGTACCACAACTGCCCCAAAAAGCATAGGTTTGTCAGAAGTGGGATGTTTGCTTTGACCAGCTGGTTTAAACGCACATTAGATTTTGTACAGCCTTTAGAAGATTCATAGTGGCAAAAACAAGTGGATGGTTCATTTTAATGATGTCCCAGGTCACAGATTCTTTTGTAAACAAAGTACGGTGTTAAGCCAGCTGTATTGGATTTGACAGCAACTGCATCACAATCACAATGCTTCACAATGCATTTCACATGCAATGCTGAGAAGGCATTGACACTTTTACCTTTGGAATGGTATTAGCCAATCACAACAGTGGCCATTTACTGGCAAGATTTCAAGGAGCCGCCTATCTGAAGAAACTGATAATAAAAGGTTTATCAAAAGGTTTTGACAGATTTAGGCTACAAATCTGTCCCCAAAATATGTTTAAGTGCAAACACATACAAAACATGTATTATTAAAATAAGCTTGATTATAATTTTCAGACATGAAAAAGGCATAGCCTACAACACAGGCACAGTGACCAGGCCAAGGGTCCAGACGCACATGATGGGTGCATCCGAAAGCTCTAAAATGCTGCCTTCGGAGGTGGTCAATTTGTGTTTAAATGTATGTTTCTGACTAACTTTTTGCACTTTTGATGTTATTTCTAGCGAGAAATCAGTATTATAATGATTAAATATTCATTTAGTTATCATCAAAACTCATTCTATTTTGTTGTAGATCATTAAACCGTTACGCTGCCTCAGAAGCCTGTCCGAAATCAGTTTCATGAGGTGCCTTCGTGCAAAAACGCTGCCTGCAAAGTCATTGCCTCGTAAGGCAGCAAGGCAGCAAGTCAGCTGCCTAGGCTTTCGGATGCAGCCTTTGTTAAGACTTTGTCTTAAGAACTAGTTTAGTCAACTAGCAATTAGCCAATTCTTATTTTTCAGATACAAATGACCAATCTAACTTTTTATGCAACTAAAGCCTTCTACACATTGCACGATTTTAGCAGTCCTTTAAGATCACTGCAGATCACACTGTGCAACATGGATCTAATAAACTTGGGTGGGACATGCATGTAGACTGTACAATGACACATACTGACTCGTATGTTACGATGCATGTTTCTATAGAAGAATAAAATGTCATCAGCATGCGCTAGTGGTAAACAAAAAAAGCATGATGAATCACACTTTGGCAGTTGTAGTTTTTATGTGTGGTGAAAAAGTGGAAGCGG